GTAAGTATCAGAGGCAGCGTTTGAGGCAGTGAGGTGATGCAGTGGATAGAGCACCAGGCCTAGAGGCAGGAAGGTCTGAGTTCAAATCCAGTCTCAAATACTTTCTTAGCTGTGTCACCCTGGCAAGTCACTTCACCTCTGTCTGCCTCAGTTTCCTTAAAAGATAGAATATTTGTAAAGCACATAGCGCAGTACCTGACACATAGTAGGTGCTTAATCAATGCTAGCTGTTACAATTATTATTTTAACCCAGGTCCTCTGACTTCCAATCTAGCACCCTTTCCACTGCATGACAAATGGAGGGAAATTGGTTCTTAGTCTTAAGAAAAAGAGTAAAAGGTGAAGGCCTGAGTAGACATAGCCAGGACTACAAAAAAAACAAAAACCCAAAACCACAATATCACACCCCCCACCCCCATACATACATTCATACACACAGAATGCTGCATGCCCATATATGCAGCTTCTGGTCTTGGTGGAAGTCTGCTTTTTAAAAAATATATATATTTTCAAAGACTTTCCTGACGCAAGTATCCTTTTCAAGTATTTTAAGACCACAGTCACTCTGGCACACAGCCTCACGATCCTTACTAGGGACCTGTGGGCTTTTCTGCATCTTTCTGGGGCTGGGGGGAAAGCAGAGCCTGTTACCCTCCCCCCATCCTCTAGTGACATCATGCAGGATGTCTCTGGCCCCAGGGAGCTCTGTGCGGTGACCCAACACCATGGGAATTAGCCCAGTCTGCTGGGTAGAGATAATGTGACCCTGATTAAATAGCAGGTTCCCACTTCAGATTCCTGGCGGCCTTGCTCCACTCGGGCGAGTGGGTCACCTCCCCCAACATCAGTCCTGTTCTCAACGCTGAGCTCTGAAGCAAAGCCAATCTTGGATCACAAGCTAGGGCGTTCCATAGCCAGGTCTCATTACACCCTCTAGTGTTCTCCTGCACAGCAGAAGGCCAGGCTTCTTCTTGAAAATCCCCTTGCTTCCTTTCCATTTATCATTCACAGGATGGTCGGCTCTGCTCAGGAGCGTCTGAGGCAGAATTCAAACCCTGGCTCTAAGTCGAGGGCTCTCTATGCATGCCATTTTACAGATAAGTAAACTAAGGTTCAAAACAGTTAGGTGCCCTTCAAACTCAGGTCTTCCCGACTCTAAGCCCAGCTCTTTATCTTCTGCATCCCCTAGCTTCCCCTTATTTCTTAACAGAACCAGAGAGTTAGAAGGGAATCATAGAGGTTTTACATTCCATCCATTCCTTGGAGCACGAATTTAGTGACCCCTGACCTGGGGACTAAGAAGTTATTGCAAGGGGTTCATATCTTCTCCTGGATTTTCCTAATCATCAATTGGTTGCTATCAGGATCATTTGGAGTGCACAAAATGTTTTTAGGTTTAAAAAATTCCTCATGTTCCATAAGGTTGGAAGCTTCTACCTTACCTGGGTTCCCAACATGTAGTCATCAAGTCTGCTTTAAGCATCTCCAGTGATGATGAACTCACCGCCCTGCCTGGCGTCTTGCTGGCACGCATAGAGAGCCCTTGACTTGGAGTCAGGAAGACTGGAGTTTGAATCCTGCCTCAGATACTTCCTAGCTGGGTTACCCTTAGCAAACCACTTAAACTCCACCAGCCTTAGCTCTCAGGGCTGTTCTGAGGACCAAGTGCTAGTAGATGCCTGTGTAAAATTTAGAGTGCTAGGCGGATCTTAGCTATTATTATGATTATTACCACTCCCTAGTTGGGCCCCCTCTCTATTTTCAAAGAGCTGTAATTGTTAGAAAACTCTTCACATCTGGCTGAAATCTGCCTCCCTGTGACTTCCACCCACTAGAGCACACATAAAGGGCTCAATACCTCTTCCTTTTTATTTTGGGGGGAATTTGGAGAAGCTGTAAGTTGTTTTGTCTTTAGGCATACCCCTTTTTTTAACACCCGCCCTTGTCACTTACCAGTCTAAGTAAACTAGCATTAATAGGTGCTTCCTTTGTGCCAAGCACAGAGCTAGGTGCCCTTGGGCAAAACCACCAAAGTTCTCTGGGCCTCAGTTCCCTTATCAGTAACATGACAGGGTTGAGTAAGTTGGCTTCTGAGGTCTCACCTGACTCTAGATAACTTGGTGTAGGACACAGAGCCCCGTGGGTGGATCTGGGTTGAAGGGCTGCCTCTAGGACATGGAGTCCCAGATAGTCACCTAAGCTTTCTGGACCTCACTCTCCTGTTCTGTCAGAAGAAAAATGTGGAGTGATGGGTGAGACGATCTCTATGGTCTGATATTCTTAAATCTTCTTAAGAAGATTCAGATCTTCTTTAAGAGAAGATTCTTTTTAATGTCTGATATTCAATGATTATTCTCCAGTGGTCCTCAAGGGAGGTCCGGATGGCTATTTTACCACCTTCTTATTTTTCCCACTGGCATTCACTTCAGCTGCAAAATATTCTCTGCCTTATTCCAGGGGTGGAGATCTTTGTTTTTTTTTTCCTATCAATGTCCACTGGCCCAAAGGAAAAATGAAATAAATGAAGAGCTATACCCAAGTAAAAAGCAACATACAACATTCTTTCATTCTTTTTTTTTTTTTTGTTTGGAAAGTGAGAAAAATGTTTGATTCAATTGTTTTCAAAAATCACAGTTAGGCTGCTATGTAATAATTGCTTGTCCTCAAATAAGAGATAGGAAAATGTACCTCTTCCCGAGTGTGGATCATTACATACAATATCAGACCCAGTTGACGTGTATGTTAAGATTTGCTGAATGGATTTTTTTCCCTCTTTTTTTTCCTGTCTTTTTTATTCTTTGTTACAGAGGATGGCTCTATGGGTAGGGGAAGGGCATAAAAATAAAGATACCAATAAATTATTTGAAAATAGAATCATCCAATTTTTATTCAGGGAAGAAAAACAACAAAATATGCTTCAATTTTTAAAAATTATGACTAGTTAAGGGAAAGAAAGAAAAAGAGAAAGCTGGACTTACCAGCTTTAAAATGGAAATACCAGGGTATAGGAGACTTGAGAGAAGGGGATGGTAGCTAGGCCAACATCTCCTGCCCATTCAGCCTCACCTTTCTGGAACCCCCTACACCCATCTCTTGTTTTCCTGCTCTCTACTCTCCTTCTCCCCTTTATTGGCCCCGTAGAGACCCAAGACTCGCACCAGTCTCTGTGACCATTGTTTTATCTTCCTCTACTTTACCAATGAAGCTACTTGCTAGAAACTTACATCCACCCATTGTCCAAGTGCCCTTCCTCAATGTGATGCTAGTGTAGAATGCATCGTTGAGACAAAAATCCCCTTACATAGAATGCTGACTTCTGGCTCTCTTTCTCTTCATCCTATCTTCTGGGTAAATCATCTATCCTCATGTTTTCAATGATCAACTCTTGACCTATTTGAACTTAAAGCACAGATCCTGAGAATTTTATCTTTGGATATTCTAGAAATGAAAAAAAAAAGTGAACAATTCCAAACAACTTTTCTTTTTGAGTGAGCCGCCACCTCCTAAGTTAGAATCATTGTACAGCAAATAGCTGTGTCCTTCCTGCATTGTTTTCCTCGCTAGAAGCCAGAACCAATGGGATCCTTTGCTGGGTTGTTAACTTGGTTAGTACCCAACTAATAAAGTTAGCAACTCAAGTTGATGTTGAGACAAGGGACTAAAAAAAAAAAATACCAGCTTGGATTTGGTTCAGAATCCAGGAAGGGTTGTATTTCAGTAGAGAATCTGTGTTCCCAGCTTCTTAAATATAAGGTGACCTATTTGCTTTAAGGTTCTCACTCTAACTTAAGGCAACTACTTGGTTTTCTCATTGGTTAAAAAAAAAAAGAAAGAAAAAGAAAAGAAAAAAAGAAAGTTGGATAAAATTGCTTCTAAAGGTCCCTTTCAGCTCTAAATCTACTATCCCATAAAGTAAGAGTCATGGATGAAACTCCAGTGATCTTTAGCTCTTTATCCGAAAAGATAGTAGAAGGATTTTTATTTAAGACACTGCTAAATGGGTAGAAACCAATTGCAATGAAAAGAAATTCAAGATGGAAGAGACAGAGGTGATTGATAGAACAAGGTTCTGGAAAAAGTGGGAGAGAATAGAATCCAGGTTCCAGATATAGAGAGATGAACTTTGGAGTTGGAATCCATCCTTTATCTTGAGCCAGAACTGAATGTCTCAACTATCCCAAGTTGATATACATCTGTTCTATTTACACTGGCAAGCATTTGGCATAACTACCCAGAGCTATTTGGGGATGCCACTGTCTCATAAAAGAACCTCTGGAGTTGCCTTCTACATGAGCCATTTTTCAGTAGCTGGATAGAGAAGCATGTGAAACTATAGTATTCTGTTTTCACCAGAGACGTTGAACACCTTTAAACCTTTTCCCCCTCAACTTAGATCAAATTAAAAGAGGAGAAGCCATCACTCTTATCACAATGTGCGTTTTCTACAGTTCAGCTCCAAAACAAATGTGATGTGAGAATGAGAAAAGCAAATATAAAATCATTCAGCTTATGTGCATGACTTCCCCATTCAGCACATTCCCTCAATGATCATTCCTTGGAAAAATGTGTTAAATTTTTACTCTACCACATGATGATAAGAAACTGCTAGACAGCAGCAGCTGTTACAAAGGATATGTGTGTTTTTCTGGGCTTCCTTCACCCCTGAGTGCTTCCTTTGGCCCACACAGCTGCTAAATATTTCACCAGCTCCTTTTTAAGGGGCAGGGAGGAAGTGCTGGGAGGATGATATATCACGCTGGAAGATCTGAATGACAAGGCCATTGGACCTTGGTGCCAAACTGTTTGTCGGCCTTACTCAAAACCTCAACTCTAGTCGGGTTTCAAAACAGTGTCAAAGGTTGTAAGACTTAATTAAGAGAAAAGAAATAGCTGGCTTGTATTTGAAGCCATCTGAGGGATATGCGATTTTGTTCATTTTGCTTAGTTTTCTTTGTTGTACTTATCCTTCCTTTTTTCCCCCCCCTGCTTCTTTTTCTTAGGTCGGAAGCTGAGGGGGAAAGCCTTTTATTTTGTCAATGGCAAAGTGTTCTGTGAAGAAGACTTCCTGGTGAGTGAGTCCCTGACACACAGTACTCCTGCCTCACCCCAACACCTCTCCTTTATCTATTCCTGCAGAAACTCTGAAAAAGAGGATGCTGGGAGGAAAAGACAAAACAGAGAGAGCCCCTGTGACCTCATCACCTTCTTATGTTGCCACCAGGCAATCCTTAGGAGCCTTAATGACAGGGGCTAAGGCAGGACTACCTCTGTTACATCAGAAGAAGATGATGATGATGATAGCTAAGACTTATATAGAACTTTAAGGTTCTCAGAGTGCTTAACACAGATATTCTTATTCTCACTCAATCCTTACAACAGCCCTGTGAGGTAGGTAGGTGCTATCATTATACCTATCTTACAGATGAGGAAAACTGAGGCTCAGAGAGACAAAGCGAAAGAGTCACACAGCTAGTGAGTGACTGAGGCAGAATTAATGCTCAGGTCATCCTGACTCCAAGTTCGGCAGCTAGCTGCCTCTATATGTCTAAAGACTGATTGTACAATGAATCAAAGGATGTCAGAGTTGGTTGGGACCTCATCTGGGCCAGTTTGGACCTGGAGAACAATTCCCTCCAAGGGCTTCAGTTTTCTCATCTCTAAAATGAGAGATTTGGACGAGATGGCCTGCAGAGTCCCCTCTTTCTCCAGATCGATGATCCCTAACAAGGGCCATCCCGCTTTTGACCGAAGACCTCCACTGATGGGGAACTCACTACTTCCCAAGGCATCCCACTCCCCTTTTGCATATCTCTAACTATTAAGAAGCTTTTTATGTTTACATTGAGCTGAACTCGATTCTCTATGACTTCTGCCCTGGGAGGCCAAGCAGAGTGGGTCTGATTGTTTCCTTATGTGATAGGAAGATAGCCCTTCAGATACACGAAGGCAGTTTTCTTCTCCCCTCTAAATCTTTTCTGTACTACCACCACCACCACCACCACCACCACTACTACCACTACTACCACTACTATAATTACCAATAATTTATAATAAAAACAGCAACAAATATTAATATGGTACCTACTATATGCCAAGTCCTATGCTAAGTGCTTTATAATTATTATCTCATTTAATCCTCACAACAACTCTGGGAGGTAGATGCTATTATTATCTTCCTTTTACAGATGAGGAAACTGAGGTAGCCAGAGGTTAAATGACTTGCCCAGGGTTACACAGCCAATAAGTATGTGAGGCCAGATTTGAACTCAGTTCTTTCTGACTCCAAGCCTGGTGCTCTATCCACAGTGCCACCTAGCTGCCCTAAATTAAACCTTCTGGGTTGCTTCAGCTAATCCTGATTATGAGTCCCTTTCTCATTCTAGTCTCTCTCCACTGGATTGTCTCAAAGCCCTTACTGACATGTGATGCCCAGATCTCACCACAGTACTTGACATGCTATCTCTCAGACATTCCCTGAGCTTTCCTGCCTCCATGTCTTTGTATACACTGTCTCCTATGCCAGGAATGCCCTTCCTGACCCTTCTCTGTTGAATTCTTCTATTGAATTTTCCAAGTGGTGGCTATGAGAAGGGTAAAGTCAGTGAGGTCCACAGCCCAGCACAGGTGGTCCTGGACTCCAGCAAAAAAATGTTCTTCTGCTTCACATTCTGTCACAACACCTAGAATTTCAATTACTTTTTAATAAGAATTAAAATTTTAATTTTTGTAAGAATACTAAATATCAAGAAACTAGAGGATTTTTGCTTTTTAAAAAAAATTTTTAAGGGTCTATGTATCTCATGATAGGAATGACTAATTGCAAAGAGCATTGGATTTTAAGTCCAAGGACTTGGGTTCAAATTCTGGCTGTGTGACGTTGAACAAATAAATGTCTAAACCTCCCCGGGCCTTACTTTTCTCATCTGTAAAATGAATCACTTCCAGCTCTAAATCCTCTCGACTTTCCCTTCCATATGAAACATTTTGGCAAAGCCAGGGACTCTGAATTGGGATGGAGAACCAGAAGGGTCTTTAGGCATCCTCTAGTGGAACTGCCTGGTTTTATACATGAAGAAAGGGATGTCCGTTGAAGCCCAAGGGATCGTGGGAAGCAGACTGGGCCTGGAGGCAGGAGGGATGTGATTCAAGTCCCATCTGCAGCACTTACTAGCTGTGTAAACACGGACACGTTCCTTTCACTTTTTCTGAGACTCAGTTTCCTCATGTATAAAATGGCGATCCTAATAGCACCTACATTATGGGGCTGTTGTTAAGGATCAGATGGGACAAAGTATGTAAACTTCTTTGTAAACCTCCCATGTATCAGCTCTTGTCCTTGTTCTGAGTCACCCAACAGAGTCAGGATTAGAACCCAGGTCTCCTAACTCCCCCTCATGTTTAGATAAGGCAGGAGAAGCTTAACGTCCTTGTCATGTCAGAATGAGAGGCGGTGCTCCTAGCCCCATTGCCTTTAACCAGCAGCTCAGGCTGAGTGCCTTGTTTCAGATGCCATTCCAAACCGAAAGGGGAGCGGTTACACCTTGGTACAGGTGCAGATTGGAAACACTATCCTATGATATCCCTTTCTCATGTTAAACTTGAATTATGTTAGCAATAGTTTGGCTTACATGGACTGCGCAACCCAAATGGTATCTCTTCAGAAAAAAACAAACAAACAAACAAACTTCTCTTCTCCAGTGTAGCTTAGTAAGATTGATATAATTTTTTTCTCATTGAGAGATAACAAGCAAATTTCTTTATTCCAGAGGAAATTCTAAGTCTGAGAGGTGGTTATAGGTATACTGTATAGAATGCTGGACTTAGGACCAGACAGATGGGTTTGAATCCTACCTTTTGATACTTACCGACTGTGTGACCATGGGCATATCATTAAAAATGCTCCATGCCTCAATTTCCCCATCTGGAAAATAGGTATAATAATGTCAGTAGTACGTAGCTACCTCTTGGGGTAGAAATGTCTGATGAAATCATGTACTGCCATGCATTTTATGAAGGCAGGCTTCCTTCATGGAGTCAAACATTCATTTTCAAATAGCACCTAAACCTACTTGTTTTATCTATCCTAGTGCAGACGTAACTGTTTTCTTTTTCCCTTGCAGTATTCTGGTTTCCAGCAATCTGCCGACAGGTGTTTTGTATGTGGACACTTGATAATGGATATGGTGAGTAGTGATGGCCAAAGAAAGACCAGTGATGTTTGGAATGAACATGCCCCCAGGGCCAAGAATACAAAAGTGAAGGAGGTCACCCACTCTTGACTTCTTATTGCAACTGGTTCCATTGAAGGTGCAAAATACACATGAGACTTGTTAGCTAAAATAGAGCCCAGGGCATCTGGCTTTTATCAGAGTCCACCCTTAGCAGTAGCAGCCATGAGTGGTTAGGTCTATACAGACATTTCCCAGGTAATCTGGGTTTGCTGTTTGTCCATTTTCAAAGAGGACCTATGACATCATGGGGTGATGTCTTGACCCATTCATGAATTGGGTTCAAGTGAGGCTTGCCTTGGTTGGAATCTGAGCAAGAAAAGAGACTTATGTAATTAAGCATTTGGATTACATTAAAACTTTGAATGTTTTGAATATGGAAGCAATAGACTGTGTCTCTTTCCCAGGTTAATAGTGCTTTCAAGTAAGAGATATAACCTGGTAGGTTATATTGTAAGCTCCCTGAGGATAGTGATGCTTTCAGTCCCTAGCACCGGCACATATTAGGTGCTTAAGAAATATTTGTTGAATTGAATTTCCCAAGGCCACTCAACTGTAGTCATTTTTGATCATCATAGAATTCTCTACTTCACCAAAAAAATCAACCATTATCTTATTTTTCTCTTTTTGGAGAGGAAACCGGGGTTAAGTGACTTACCCAGAGTCACACAGCTAGTAAGTGTCCAGTGTCTGAGGTCACATTTGAACTCAGGTCCTCCTGACTCCAAGGCTGGAGCTCTATCCACTGTACCACCTAGCTGCCCCAACAGTACATTTCAGAGGACAGGTCCCCTGACTCAAGGATTCTTTCAGCAGAAGTTAATGAATAAAGCATTTTATGAACAGGTGAACACTGTTAGGATAGAGCATATTAGTAGTCCGTGGATTTGGGTATATATCAGGGGTCATCCTAACCCCAGGACATGACTGTCCAGCTAAGACTTTCCATAACAGAACTTACCTCCAAGGCAAAGGTTAGTTGTTTCTTGTTACTAGCATCATGGAAAAGGGTTGTAGTATATTAAAAAACCAACTACTTCCAAATTTCTTTATTCGTGACCATTGGTGGCTCTAAATAAATGAGCAACTTCTTGTGACTATATTAATGTGAAATCACATCTCTCCTGCCTCCAGGCCCGGTCTGCTTCCCACGATCCCTTGGGCTTCAACGGACGTCCCTTTCTTCATGTATAAAACCAGGCAGTTCCACTAGAGGATACCTAAAGACCCTTCTGGTTCTCCATAGAGAAAAGGGTTGTAGTATATTAAAAAACCAACTACTTCCAAATTTCTTTATTCATCACCATTGGTGGCTCTAAATAAATGAGCAACTTCTTGTAACTATATTAATCAAGTTACATTTGCTTTAGCTAGTGCCTGATCTATTATCCATATTGATCCATCCTTATTGATTCTTGATAGAGTGAATGAATGATGTCATTGCTTTATAGGAGCAGTTTGCAAATTTGTGCCTCCTTCCATGATTCCCTGGGCTTTTTATAGACTCCACATATCATATGTCACTAATTTGGTTCCAAAGCAGGTGTGTAACATCATTGTTCAGATTGTTTAAGTGATTTCTGCATGGAACGGGAGATCTCCTAGATGACCATGAAGGTCATTCAACTCCAAGATTCTTTGAGAAGCCTGGTCTCTACTGAGTAACAAACCAGGTCCTCTCACACTCCTTCCAGACTCCAGCTGTTTGCACAGCTCAGCATCATGCTTGCCTTCCCTTCCCTCCCCCAGCAATGTGCACTATAAAGGCAGGGTCTCCCGTGGATCCTAGCCTCTTGTTATGTCCCATTTCATTATTCTGTCTCTCCTCTTCTTGCTCATTCTCGCCTCCTCCCTAATCCTTAACAAGTCCCATCATTTTCTCCTTCTCTATCTCTCTTTTATTTTTCCTAGATCCTGCAGGCTTTAGGAAAGTCGTATCACCCAGGCTGTTTCCGCTGTGTAATCTGTAACGAGTGTCTGGATGGGGTGCCGTTCACGGTAGACACGGAGAACAAGATCTACTGCGTCCGAGATTACCACAAGTAAGGACCCAATAGGGAATGATTCCAAACGTAAAAGGAGTTTGTCTCAGCAAAGAGAGGGACGGACTGAGCTCAGCATTTAAAAAGCACTGTCAGGCTGTTCGTATCTATTGACGAATTTTTCAAAAAATTTAATATTTTAGTTTTTCCCCAAGGTCTCCATAATGTAAAAAATTTTTGACATTTGTTTTAAAAAATTTTTTGAGTTCCAAATTCTCTCTTTCCTCCCTCCCCCCATGGGGAAGGTTAAGCAATTTGACATAGGTTATACATGTGCAGTATTGGCCAATTTTAGAACAGATGTTTAACCTTTTTGATGTGTAGCAAGGGGAAAAAGAGCTCTATATGGGGGACATGTGGGGGATGTGACTGTTGTCTTCAAATATGCAAAAGGCAGTCCCTTAGCAGAGGGGTTAAACTTGGTTTGTTTACCACCAGAGGGCAGAACCAGAACCAATGAATAGAAATTGTTAGGAAACACCCATTTACGCTTGACGTTGGGGGAAGACTTCCACCCAGTGAAAGCTGTTGGCCAGGAGAATGAGGTGCCTCTGGAAGTGGTAGAGGCCTTCGCTTTGGGAAGGTCTTTAAGCACAGGCCACTTGAGCATTGTTATAATGAGGATTCCTTTTGATTGGTTGATGTGAGGCCTGGGTTGGATGAGATAGCCACTGAGGTCTCTTTCAACTCTCCGATTTTGTGATCAATAGTCCAACCTTCTGGCCAGGCCTTAAACAAGCTTCCTCTGGGCACGGTTTGTCTGTCTTTATTTTCCACATTACTAGCAAAGGATTGTGCAATTCCTGTAAAGGATGTCCTCTGAGAGCCACAGAACCAGAAGAGAAGTGAAGTTGCTCATTTATTTAGAGCCACCAATGGTCACGAAGTATGCTCCATTGGTTGGGCCCAATGTGAGATCGGGCCATCTAACGGAAGGCTCCTACCCCATTAGGTAGGCCCTTTCTAGGGGAGTTCCTGGAGCATTTGGACAACAAGAAGTTTCAGTCTCCCCCAGTGGAGGGAGTACCCACATTGATGAGATAACAGAGTGCTTTGTGAAGTGTGAACTTTCTATTCCTAAACAGGTGGGCTGTTTACTCATTGACTTGCACCAAGGGGACATCCCCATTTTAGGTGAAACAAAAGAAGACAGTGAGGGATTTCTAGTTGATTACATAGGTTGTACATCCACCAACAATTGGAGACTAGTCCTAAGGCAATCTAAGAGCACTGGAGAGATGGTGAAATAGGGACCGATTCTCTCCATAGGAGTGGAAGGAATTTGGAATAAGAGGTCAGATGGCATGGGTGCTGTTTATCTGGGCAGGCTTTAAGATTTTGAGGCTTGGGCCTGGAAGAAGGTCTGGCACTTCGTCCTTCATCTGCTGTTACAAGGATTCTGTATCTTGTGTTTTTTAGGGTATTGGCTCCTAAGTGTGCGGCATGTGGACTCCCTATTCTTCCATCTGAGGTAAGATACTTTTAGGAAGAGGGGCAGCTAGGTGGGCAATGGATAAAATTCCAGACCTGGAGTCAGGAAGGCCTGAGTTCAAATCTGACGTCAGATACACCTAGCTGTGTGACTTAAAATCACTTAAAACCTCATTTGCCTCGGTTTCCTCCTCTGTCAAATGAACTGGAGAAGGAAATGGCAAACCACTCTAGTATCTTTGCCAAGAAAACCCCAAAAGGGATCACAAAGAGTCAAACACAACTGAAACAACCCAACAACAACACCTGCAGGAAGAGATAAATACAGTCCACTCTCCAGCCTTCATCTAAGGGTCTTCCTTGATGTGAAGGTCTCCATAAAGCCCAACTGTTTTCTTTCTCTCAGCCCTCTCGTCATCTCTCCTTAAACCATGTGAAACCCTAACTTTGTGATAAACAGAATCCTATCTCCTCTTCCCCACCCCTCGACTATTTGAATTTTCCACCAGCTCAGGAACAATGCTGTGGGAAGATTTGTGGAGAAGGAAGCAGCCCGACCATAAGAAGTGTGGACCCCCATGGTCCTTTTGCTCCTTGGATGGAATCAAATTCTTCTCCTAGATATCAATGCCCACTTTAGTATAATAAGTGAAAGAGAGAAAAAAGAACTGAAAAGACCACAAGATCATTATCATTAGTATTATTATTGTTACTTTAAAAGCCCCAACTGCCTATTTTCCCACTGTCCCCCCACAAGGCCCGTTTTATACAAGGCTACAGGTCATCTCCTCCCCTTCCCTCTAGTATTTTTTCTCTTATAAGTATGTTCATGGCCTATATGTTTGCATCTTTCTGTTGTGAGCCCAGGATTTCTCCCAGGAGGAAAAATGCCTCTTTCCTCCCAACATGCTTCCCACGGTCTACGAGCACCTCTGCCCTGACGTTCTTCCTGTATCTGATCTTTCTTCTTGCTCTTTCTGATGCAGGGCTCTGACGAAACTATCCGTGTTGTGTCAATGGATAAAGATTACCACGTGGAGTGTTATCACTGTGAGGTAGGCCAGCCACTTTCTGGGGAAGGGCCAGGGAACCTGATGAAAAAAAAGCAAGAGGGAGAAAAAAATTCCCCGTCCCCCCCAAATTAATAAATTCTGAATAGTGTGGCCAGCAGGAAGCAGGAGGACAGAGGAATGAATGTTTGCTTGGGGGAGTGATTTTGTTTCCTCTGCCAGCTCACAAGTCTGAAATTCGTCATCGTTGTTAACGTGCCCGAGCTCTTGCGGTCTCTGTGTTGTGAACACTGGGGCTGGCTTTGGTGTTACTGGGCTGGGCTGGCTAAGCCTCAGGTTTCAGATCACGTTTATGGGTCTAGTTTCTGAGGGAGATGATTTTCAAGCCCTGTGTGATATGGAGAACCACAATCCTCCCCACCCCACAGTCTGTATATTCTCATGACAGGCAGGTCAGATCTCACAACACTATCTTGGGATTAAAGAAAAAATGTGAAAAACCAGACTGGTTACCTATCTAGTGCCAAAGGCCAAGCACGGCAAACCAGTCCTTGAAGCACATTTAAGGTCACAGGACACGCTGATGAAAGTAACAGCAATTGAAATTCCCAAATCATTTTAAGGCTTGTAAAGTGTTTTACATATATTATCTTGTTAGAGTTTTACGACTACCCTGTGAGATGGGTATTTGCAGATATGATTCCCATTTTGTAGATGTGAAAACTGAAGGGAGGTTAAGTAACTTGCCCATGGTGCCAGAAATAACCAAGCTATCACAGGTGAGACTTGAACCTCATTCTCCCCGATTCCCAGTTCTAGGCTCTGCCCACAGCCCTGCCCTGCCCCAGGCATGGTTTTGAAAATCTGGCTTGTGCTCTAAGTGGGCCCTTCCAAAGGGGAGCAGCCCTTTAGTAACCACCCAGAGGCGGCCTTCCCAGCTGGACGAAGGCACTTTGCAAAGGCCAGTCGCAGAATCAGATGTGGACAGATTCAATCACTGACCCTCTCAATAGTATCATTTATCTTGATCCTGCTCCCAGAAGTGTCAGCAATGGTACCTCAGAATCCAGAAGAAAGAGCTCAACAACGGCCCTTTGCAACGGGAATGTAGAAAGTGAGAGGAGCAGTCAGGTAGTATAGTGGATGGAGTCCTGAACTTGGAGCTGGGAAGTTACCTCCTACATTTACTGGACGTGTAATCTTGGGCAATTTAACTTCTCTGCCTCGGTTTGCTCATCTGTAAAATGGAGATAGTAATAGCACCTATCTCACAGAGTTTGTTATCAGGATCAAAAGGGATAATACATGTGAAGTGCTTGGCAAACCTAGCAGTTATTATGTGTAAAGAAAAAGTGGAGAGATTCACTAGCTGGTCAAGAAGCCAGAAGTTCTTAGACACCCAGTCTCTTGGAGCTTTCTTTCTTTCCTTCCTTCCTTCTTGCTTTTGTTCCTTTCTACCATCTTTCTTTCTTCCCTTCCTCCCTCCCTCCCTTCTTTCTTTCTTTCTTTTTCTTTCTTTCTTTCTTTTTCTTTCTTTCTTTCTCCCCCTCTCTCTTTCTTTCCCTCCCTCTTTCTTTCTCCTCTCCTTCTCTTCCTTCCTTTTAAAATTTTATTATTTTTATTCTGAATTTAGTAAACACACAAAAAAGAAAGCATTTCCATATACAGAGTAGAGTAAAGAAAAGGAGAGTTCACTTGCCTTCATTTTTTTAAGTATATACTCAATCCCACACGTTGCTTTCAGAGCTGTCCTGCTTCTCTATTTCTCTCTGGACCCGTTTCCATTTGCTTCTGTGCATTTTTTTCAATGGAGCTTTGTCTTAGGGCTGGTTCTCCCACCAGGCCTCTCAGGTTAGGAAGCTACAGAGGGCCAATCAGTGGTCGTCAGTCTGTCCCACTCCCCCACTAACTTGGACCCCTTGACTCCTTAGGATTGTGGAATGGAACTCAACGATGAAGATGGCCACCGGTGCTACCCTCTGGAAGACCACTTGCTCTGCCATGCCTGCCATCTGAAACACATCGAGAAGGGGGCCACCTCTGTGGCCACCCACCAGCATGCCTACTAGTCCAACTTAGAACCAATTTTGGTGCCAATTCCCTGAATCGGCAGCAGGGAACGTCTAATCAACGAATCATGATTTCGGTTTCAGAGACTGGGGTGTGTTTGGGTTTGGGGGAGGTGGGAGGGAGATAAAGGAAAAGGATGCATGTCTGTGTGTGCATGGTTTTGTTTTTCCATGGCCAGGAAAGTGAAACATTATCCATCCTGGTACATTTATCTTCCAAGTGCCTTCCTCCATACTCAGGAGGTCTTCAGATTACTTGGGAGAATGCATCATTATAAAGGCACAGGGAGATTCGATCGTGGAAAACCCAATTAGCTGTCCTGAGACCTGTCTGCTGAGGATAATGTGCATTCTTCTATGTGAGTCATGTTAAGTCTGTTTTAAGATCTCCCCCCATTCCCCATTCAGGATACCAACAGATTGATAACAGACTTTCACAGTCTTTCTTTTTCCTTAGGAAAATAACCATGTATGAAACACCCTTCAGATCTTCCTTTTGCCCCAGAAGTGAGATTTTAGGTCTTCTTTAGGAATCTCTGAAAAATGGTCATTGTTACAAAAAGAGGCAGTCTTTACATTTTCATTCGTGACATAGGAGAAATTTGCCAAGAGTGTCAAGTAGAACCAGGTGTTTATGTGAAGCCAAGGAGGGCACCCATAGAAATATCTTGTCCTCAGAGTAGTGTTTTTGGACCGGACTCCTGTTTTGGGAGTGTCTGGTGAGAAAACATCCTGTACCAGTGCAGATATGCCTCTTGTGGTCTGGGAGAGTTTCCTGGGGCACTTAGACTTTCAATGACTTGCTCAGGCTCAGATGGCCAGGATGTGTCAGGGCACCATTTGAACCCAGGTCTTCCTGATTCCAAGGCCGGTTTTCTATCCACTATGCCATACCAGTCTCTCACTGGTTTTACTGACTCCTAGCACACATGTAGTAAATGCTTTGATGAATGTTTTTCTTTTTTTCATTTTGTTGAATCTCTTCAGAACTCTCTTTTCCTCAACTCCCCTGCCTCAACCTCCCAAGAAGCGTGGGATCCATAGGGTAGATCCAAATCTATCATGAGAGAAGAGCTTGGTGCAGGCACCATTCAGCTCATAACAGCTCCTCAGGGTTAGGCCCAGGAGCTCAAGGCTCCCGTTGCTATGAAATGGATATTGGCACGAGGGATGGGAGGGTGTGCTGGGAACACAAGGGCCAGCTTTTCTTTAGCTTGGCTGCCATTTTGTATTTGGGCCTACACAGGGTTCTGGAGACAGACTAAGAGCTAGCACCTTAAAGGATATAAAGCAGATCCTTTTTCTAGAGAGCCAGATTGCTCAGGAACATGCTCCCCATCTTCTTGGAGAAAAGGTATTTAAATCAAGAAAATTACTTCAGACGCGAAGCCACTCACTCTGATACTCAGTGCCGTAGACCCAGAGAGGCATCATTGTTTAGCGGATAGAGCCTTATACTTGCAGTCAGGAAGACCTCGGTTCAGATGCTCCCTCGAACGCTCACTAGCTGTGTGACCCTTGGCAAGTCACTTAGCCACCACCTGCCTCAGTTTCCTCATCTGTAAAATAGGAGAGTTGAATTCGATTACTTCCAAAGTCCCTTCCAGTTCTAAATCTATAAGCTTTAGTTTTGAAGAAACTAGCATAAGGGATACTTTTTTATATAACTGCTTCCTTAGACTATGGGTGGCTCCTAACTTTCCTGATATAGCCTAACCAGATTTAAGGGTAAGTGCCTACACCAGAGTCCTCTGCTTTGGTCCTCTGAACTCTTTGTTTACATTGTATCATATCCACTAGCAAAATGCTGCCTTTTCTTACATAGGCCAATCTCCAGCTCATGAAATGACTGGCAACTAAACTCTTATGTAGATGGAAATTTGTGCCAGATTTAAATTCAGGTATACCATCTTTTATATTTTAATCATATTTCCCAAGGAGCAGCACAACCTAAGAAACAGTTGGATGTTGGTAAGATTTCAATAGCATTTACCCTACAATAGAGCTGAGCCACTCTTTGGGGGCCTAGAGCTAATACCACTCAGTGGAAGGAACAGGCAAAAAAAAGACCATGAAAATGTCTCTCAATTTTTTTCTTTTTTGGATGCAGCCTGTGGTAAAAGTAGATCCCAGAGCTGGCCCTGGCACACCCATCTCCACTCTCAGACCTGCCAGGCAGGACAACGTTCTGAGGCCAACAACCTCTGGCCTGTGAAAGCCTCGAGTGCTGAATGTCTGGGGGTGTCTAATCAACCTTAGGCTGCGGCACAAGCTGGGGAGGGGGCTGGGAAAGTTAAAGGTTGTTCCAGCAGGATTGGGGTCTAGTTCACACAGCTCTGTAGCAGAATTAACAACGAAAAGCTCTGGCACTCCAAAATGTTTTTCCACCTATAGAACCTTCCCTGGGCTTTGTCACCCTTCCCGGGCTTGTCTAATAGCAGGTAGCAGGTGTGTTCTAAAGCCTGAGAGAAGCCCAGGACTTGGGCCTTGATGAATTGTGTTTACATTTTTATCAAAATTCACATCCTATAGCTGGATTTTATTCAGACCGGCCTGTCCTGCTTTTTGTTTTCCTTCCCCACCCTACTATGGGTTCTGGCCTAGTACACCTAGCTTAATTAGTGGATCATAGAATTAGAGTTACAATGGATTCTAGAAATCATCTAGTCCAATACCCTCATTTTACCGAGGAAGAAACTGAGGCCCATAAATGTGAAGTGACGTGTCCAAAGTCACGCAAGTGGCAACCCCAGAATTTGAGCCCAATCAGTTAACAAGTATTGACTGAGGGCTGTGCTGAGCACTGGGGAGAGGGTACAAAGGAAAAGCAAAACCGGTACCTGCCCTCAAGGAGCTTCCATTCTAACTGAGGAGCCCACAGATACAGCTCTGAGTCTGGATTCAGGGTGGGTTGGTAGGTTGGTTGGTTGGTTTGTTTCAATGGCACCACTAAATAGCTAAGGGAGGGAATTTTTGTGTCATCCCTTTCCCCTCCAGGGTCATTCAGCTCAACTCTAATGAGTCCCTGGCTACTGAAAAACTCCAGGGACAATTCCTGCAAACTCTTGGCTCTAGCTCAGGAATGCTAGCTGGCTATGCAGGTGAGCAGGAAGGCTTTTCTTCCTCTTCCAGTCAGAATGTGGCCGTATGACTGATTCAGGGCAACGGGCACAAAGAAAAAGAATTTGTCCTTGAGTAGGTAATTATTCACTTAAAACAGGCAATGTTTTCTAAATTAAAGACTGACTCAGTAAACAGAAAGGAGAGTCAGACAGTCAGTCAGCATGCATTTATTAAGCACCTACTATATGCCAGGTCCTATGTTAAGTGCTGGTGAGACACAGAAAGGCAAAGCGACTGGTTCCTGGTTCCAATGCCAGTTGGGCTCTGCCGATGTGGCTCTTTACTTCCTGGGACAAGAGAGTTCACGGGGAGGATTTACAGGAATGATTCTGGGACGGGACTTCTTGGGGTACCCCGGGTGTGAGGTGCCCTTGGTGAAGATGGAGCCGCATGACTTGGGGAAGAACTCTGCCTTCATGCTGAGTCCAGTGTTTGGCTTAGTGTAAACTTTCTCACTGCCCTTCATGCTCCCTCCAAAGAAGCCACTGATGGTCAGTCCCCATGGCTGTCTTTAAAGTTCTAAAGAGAGGCAGTATGGCCAACCTAGCCTGCCGCTTTCAAGGCTGTCCTGCTCATCTGTGCTTCATACTGGACTTCCTTCTTGTCTCTTCTTTGCATTTTTGAAAAAAAGATGCCTCAATGACTTTCTTTCCTCTCTCTCTCTTTCTCTCTCTCTGTCTCTCTTTTTTCTTTTCCTTCCTCCCTTCCTCTCTCCTTCCCTTCTTCCCTTTTTTCTTTCTTTTTCTTTTTTACTCTTTCTTCCTCCCTCCCTCCATCCCTCTCTCCTTCCTTCCCTCTCTTCCTTCTTTCTTTCTCCCTTCCCTATCACCCCATTGTCCTTTCACTCCCATTCCCACTAGAACCAAAGGCCCTGAGGCAACTCTCAAGGACTATATAAGTTACAGGGTAGGTATAGACTTGCTTGGGTTCAGGGAGTTTCTTCATTTGTCATTTCCTTTGTCAATAAAATAAAAGGTCCAGTCTATATACATATGTACACATATGCATATATATGTATGTGTAGATAAAAACATTTATACATGCATATATGTGCACACATGAATTACACATTATAATTCACACATGCGTATATGCACACACATGCATTAGCCCAAACACCGTCTATGTATACATGCAGACACAGCACACATATACACAGTGTATACATACATATGTGTGTGTGCACACATGTGTACATGCATGCATACATATAACACGGTAACTACCTGGTTTGTATTTATACATAGCAAAAAAAGGAGGCTGCCATTTGCCATCTCTATGACTTGGGACAAGTCACTTTATTTCTCTAGACCTTGGTTTCATCCTCCGTGAAACGAGGGGGTAAGACTGCAGGCCCCTTAAGGTTCCCCCCCCTCCCAGTTTTAAGTCTCTGATTCTCTGGTCTATGACTTTATGGTCTGGTGTCAGTGCAGATATCTTTAAAAGTAAAGTGAATGAACCTTATGGTTTCACCCATCTACTCATTCATACATGTGCTTTCCATTTTGGTTACATGGACCTTGTTAATCCCAGATTCTTTACTTTAGGAAACTAACCTTCTTCCTTTGCTTGACTTAGAGCTTGTCACCGTCCCTCCATCTGCTTATTTCGTAGCTTGAGGCATTTAAAAATGGTTCAAGTCAAATTAATTTTCATAGTGAAATTCATTTGATTGTAGTTTACTGAAGCAGAATCCTACTCTCTGATGTTGACTAACATTTCTTATTAAATGTATCCTTGCTAGCATCTAAATGTTGAAGCCTGCTCCTTCCAGATCATTGCTTCTCCACCCTTTTCATTTTAAGTGCTGACATTTTCAGCATGCCATGTCTGAGTTACTGCAGTAGCTTACTAAAGAGAGTGAAAGTCTGGGCTCAGAATTCTTGGCAGAAAAAATAGGAGTGGAGGCCTCTGCAGGCTGTAGGGGGTATCGTTCTGCTCTAAAGGTCCATAATTGGCTTGTCTCCCTGGATATTTTAGTGCTAAGGAAAGAAGGGATATTAGAATCTGGGTGGACCACTGGCCCTTATTGGTGTGATTGAGAAAACACAGTGATCTCGTGAATTTAATTTGTGTTTCTTTCATCCTCAAATGTGTACAAATAAAATGGACACCTGAAATCTCATGGTTCCTTAGGAAGGCCAGCACCGTAGAACGTCATCAGGCTGACAGGCCCACTGTATAGCCTTGTCCATAAACAAAGGTCCTTTGTTTTCCGCCTTCCTTTGTGCAGGAACAAATCCCAAAGGACCACCCATGATATCCAAGGTTATTTTAGAACATCTGAAGTCATTCTCAAGAGAAACCTTTTTTTAAAAAAAGACAAAGTGAAGGGGAATCATTTATTAAGTGTCTACTGTTGTCAGGCACTAGTGCTGAGCCCTTTTATACATATTATCTCATTTGAGATACAGTGTCTTTGACATTTTTTTTTTTCTGAGCCAGAACTTGGCACAGTTGGAGGAAAGAATTTCTATGTCGAGTATGAAAAGCTCACTGTGAGAGGAAGTATTTTCCTCAGTGTTTATCTTTTGTTCTATTATTACAGCATGATTCAAACTATTGTAAAATTAATAACAAGCGTGACGTGTAGAATCCTAAAGTACTAACCCACATTGTTGTTGTTTTTCTAGCACATGTATTGTCCCTTCCTGCAGAAGACTGCTCAATGTAGGGGGATTTAGGCAGACCCATCTGGGGGCTCTGTGTTCTCATAGGAACAGCTATCCTATATCTTTAAGGTGTCTCCCATAAATCCCACAGGTCTCTGAAGAGTCAGCTTATAAACCTTCAAGATCTCACTCTAGCAATGATCCTTTCCTTTGTACTCCCTCCCTTTTCCTGGGGTGATGGCCAAGACCCATGAGGGCATGAGGCAACCCAATACCTCCGCCTCCAGATGCTGAGTGTGATAGATTGAGGGCAGCCGCCATTAACATGTTGAGAACGCTCCCAAGCTCTGGTGACTTTTTGAATATTTCAAGCTCTGAGCCTGCTTTTATAGAGAAGAAAAATATTTAGTTCATCAGGAAGGCCATTATCGGGACAGCTGAGAACAGGGGCATTGGTGAAGGTTACACCTCTGGACAAATTATATTAAAGAACCCTTCTCAGACTTATACAGCCCTTTCCCATCTCATCGAGCCTTACAACAATCCTGGGAAGTAGGTGGTTTAAGTATTATTATTTCTATTTTACAGATGGGGAAATTGAGGATCAGAAAGATCCACCCCCCCCATCTCTCCCAGTTAATAAGTGGATATCGAAACCCAAACTCATGTATTCTCATTCAAAGTCAGATGCTCCTCTTATTCCACTATCCTTGCTTAAGATTCCCCATCGCCCTGATGCTTGCTTGGTGAAAGAATGGAAAAATGTTTCCTTTCGTTTTGTTTCTTAATCCTGAA